TTATTATTTTTTAAAAATGTTTTCTTGGCAACCTACATCACAAATGTTGGTTTTTTGGTACTGAAATGAAGAGAAAAGCTTAAAATAAGTATAAAGTGGTAGAAAACGGGAATGATATTATAGAATATTTAGATGAAATTGAAATAAATAACGGATTAAATACAGACAAACGTAAAAATTTATATAATATTTTTATAGAATACTTAAACAATTTAAATAGAGAACATGCACAACAAGTTTTCAAATTTATATGTGGAAATATTCATATACCTCCAAAATTTCCAATATCTGTGAGTAAATGTTTTTAATATTTTATATTTAAAGAAATTTATTAAATGTTATTACATTTTATATACCAGATTTTGTGGAAATCACCTTCTAAATCATCACCATTATGTAGACTACCAAATTCATCAACATGCATTATTAACCAGTTGGTATTGTCTGATACATATGATGATGATGAGATGGATATTTTCATCAATGATTTGAATGCTGCTTTTCTTGCTGATAATGTTGGTTTTCACAAGGGATGTCTAAAGTTAAATAAAATTAATTAATTTTTTTATTGAGTTCATCATACAAGGAAAATTTTTTTTCTATTAATTCATTTCAATGGTATCGGATGCCTTCAAAAATTATTATATTGAGATTGAGATTGAAATTTTCAATCCATGATCAAAAATTATTTTATCAATATCAAGATGATTGACAATTATTAATTAAAAATGGAATTTTTATGTCTCTTTTCTCTTTTTATTAATCATCAAAGAAATGAATTGGACCTTGAACTTACAAATACCAATTCTAATGATTTTAGTATTGATGTCTTTGTTTTTTGGGTACTTCAATATTTAAAAAAATTTTTTTTACTATTGAAATTTCATATTAAAATTCAATCTCAATCTCAATCTAATAATTTTTGAAGGTGCCCATTGTAATTACAATTTTTGTTCTTGAATAAGATAAGAGAATAAAAGTGAAATGACATAGACATAATATTTTATTATTAATTTCATATACCAAATGACCTTGGTCATTTGAAAACAGCAAATGACATTGTAATTTGTCAACATACAGTTGGTTCTGGATATAGTGAAGCATTTGTTTTTAGAAAAAGCTTCATTATACAGTATGATTCATTAACACTTATAAAAGATTACTCAAATCCAGTAACACTGCTTTTTTTCTTACTTGGGGTGGATTGTATGATTTTTAGTTTTGATCTACTATTTTTTTTTTTTTGTAATAAATAAATAATAAATAAATTTGTTGTTTGCCTATATTTATCAATTTTTACTAAACACAATTTTTTGGGAAGCATGAGATGAAAAAAATGAGATGTTTCTTATGATTTAGTTAAAAAATTTTTTTTTTTTTTACTCTTTGAAATGATTAATATTACACATATTGTTATTATTAATTATTTTTTTATTTATATATTTATTTTATTACTAATACTATATATTCACTCTCATTAATTCCGATGTATATAAGATCTAGATGATTGCATAACAATATATTAATAAATAGTATTAATAATAAGCACAGATTGTACTTGTAAAAACCAAGATTTGTTTTTTATATACAAGCTAGTAATAGCCTACTTAACTTTTAAACATTTCTATTATAGTGTTGCTATGATAGTTTCATTCCATCAATTAATATTATAATAATTAATAAATTAATAACCTATAAATAATTATAAATCAGTCTCTTATAATTAAAGTCTAAATTTTTCTAACACAACCTTTCAAATAGTTATAAGTGACTTTGTAGGAACACTTTGGCACAATTGTTGCCGCTGAATTTGTTTTAGTCTGCATACTAGTTGGAAGAAAATCTTAAAATAAGTGTGAAGAAAAGAAACGTTTCCGACCTAGCGTAGAATAACCAATGTTTAAGCTAGCCTTTTCTTTTAACTGTTGTTAAAAGTCCTGGTCTGGCTCTAAAAATTTTGTTATGGTTGAAAATCGCTTGCTATATGAAAAACGGAGAAAATTTTTTTTTGAAGTGGACGCTAATAATTTTATTCGTGTAATGTTTATATTGAATGACAATTGATCTGCAATGTCCCGCGACTAATAAAGAGAGTTTATTGTTCTTTATCAGTAATAATATTAATATCAAATTTCATATCAATATGTTACGGAACTTGAGATCCGAGATCGCCAAAATTTGTCTTATTTTTTATTCTACAAAAGCAATCGTCATTCTGAAAGGTTTAATTTCCTCCATAAATGATGAAATATATTCAGTTCTTGACACTCATGACTTAATAGACCTGCCTTATGAAGAAAGGATCCAAGAAATGGTCGGGTAACATAATTACTAATATTTTTTCTTCTAGCAGGTTCTCAGGTAACAAATGAAACATATAAATAAACTGGATTTATGAGGCATCAATTTTAATCTTATCGATTTTTTTTGAAGGTATGTATTATATAATATCTACACAAATGTTACAAAGTTTCTTTTTACTCTTGAAAATGAAATTCTACTCACTATGGTTTTCCATATTTAGGAAAAACAATATGGCCAATATCATTAGTCTCAATTGTCTTGTCATTCCTAATGGGTCACTTTATAGTCTTTCAGAGCATAGTGTTATTGTGCTTAATATTTCCACTGATGACAAAGTCGACAAGTTAAGGCCTATGATTAAAGAACGGTTGCCATCTTTGTTTGAAAATATTCTTCCTCATAAATTTGTTCTTCACAAAGTTGATAATGTGTATAAGAATATCAAAAGTGAAATTGAATCATACAAAAATGGATATGGAGATGCTGGTAAGCCAATATTTCCATATGATTTAATTTCTAAACATTTTAATAGAGAAACTCTCTATGAAACAATTAATATTATTGTACGATTAGACACACAACCCCCCTATTAGTAATTAATAGTGGGTATGTATTTATTACATTTACAGTATGTGACTGTAATATGATTTTATTTTATTTTTATGTTGTTATTTCAATGACATTTTTTATATATCAATAAAAGTAAGGTTCTATGTAACCATTTGTCTCATTCAGAATTATGTTATGTGGATGTCCATGCTTTATTTTCATCAAAATCACATGTGTTCCAATTTGGAACAGAGATCACTTTGCTAGAAAAAAAATTTTTGAATGTGTCTCAATACTTTGATATAATATGTCATTATACATAAGATATTAATATGTCTTGCAAATCTAGAATTAACAGATGAAAAACTCAAGGTAGATTCACTACAAATCCTATGAATATCAATCTAGACAAATAATATCAATTAAAGAGAGTATTCTCATCAGATCTGGTAAGGCCAATAAATATGCATAGAATTAATTTATTTTTTTTTTAATGCATGTATTACCAGTTTAAGGTTACTTGCCAAAACCTCCTAATGACTGCTGAAACTCTAACAAACAATTAGTGTGTAACCTGCTGAAACTCTACTAATTGTCAAAATTCCTAAATGTGAAACTCTGCCAAAACTCTAACAAACAATTAGTGTGTTACCTGCCGAAACTTTGCCAATTGATTTACAGAGGAGTTTTGGCAAGCAACCATACACCAGTTTGTGTAAAATTCACTGCCAAGGTAAGGAGAATTTTACAAAAAGTAGACATGGTTGTTTAACAATCAGAGAGCCAGCTTCGTTGACACAGGGTGAAATACAAAGATATGGGAGCAAAGGATTTAATTAATTATTCAGAATCTACAACTGTCAATGTTTAAGCTAGCCTTTTCTTTTAACTGTTGTTAAAAGTCCTGGTCTGGCTCTAAAAATTTTGTTATGGTTGAAAATCGCTTGCTATATGAAAAACGGAGAAAATTTTTTTTTGAAGTGGACGCTAATAATTTTATTCGTGTAATGTTTATATTGAATGACAATTGATCTGCAATGTCCCGCGACTAATAAAGAGAGTTTATTGTTCTTTATCAGTAATAATATTAATATCAAATTTCATATCAATATGTTACGGAACTTGAGATCCGAGATCGCCAAAATTTGTCTTATTTTTTATTCTACAAAAGCAATCGTCATTCTGAAAGGTTTAATTTCCTCCATAAATGATGAAATATATTCAGTTCTTGACACTCATGACTTAATAGACCTGCCTTATGAAGAAAGGATCCAAGAAATGGTCGGGTAACATAATTACTAATATTTTTTCTTCTAGCAGGTTCTCAGGTAACAAATGAAACATATAAATAAACTGGATTTATGAGGCATCAATTTTAATCTTATCGATTTTTTTTGAAGGTATGTATTATATAATATCTACACAAATGTTACAAAGTTTCTTTTTACTCTTGAAAATGAAATTCTACTCACTATGGTTTTCCATATTTAGGAAAAACAATATGGCCAATATCATTAGTCTCAATTGTCTTGTCATTCCTAATGGGTCACTTTATAGTCTTTCAGAGCATAGTGTTATTGTGCTTAATATTTCCACTGATGACAAAGTCGACAAGTTAAGGCCTATGATTAAAGAACGGTTGCCATCTTTGTTTGAAAATATTCTTCCTCATAAATTTGTTCTTCACAAAGTTGATAATGTGTATAAGAATATCAAAAGTGAAATTGAATCATACAAAAATGGATATGGAGATGCTGGTAAGCCAATATTTCCATATGATTTAATTTCTAAACATTTTAATAGAGAAACTCTCTATGAAACAATTAATATTATTGTACGATTAGACACACAACCCCCCTATTAGTAATTAATAGTGGGTATGTATTTATTACATTTACAGTATGTGACTGTAATATGATTTTATTTTATTTTTATGTTGTTATTTCAATGACATTTTTTATATATCAATAAAAGTAAGGTTCTATGTAACCATTTGTCTCATTCAGAATTATGTTATGTGGATGTCCATGCTTTATTTTCATCAAAATCACATGTGTTCCAATTTGGAACAGAGATCACTTTGCTAGAAAAAAAATTTTTGAATGTGTCTCAATACTTTGATATAATATGTCATTATACATAAGATATTAATATGTCTTGCAAATCTAGAATTAACAGATGAAAAACTCAAGGTAGATTCACTACAAATCCTATGAATATCAATCTAGACAAATAATATCAATTAAAGAGAGTATTCTCATCAGATCTGGTAAGGCCAATAAATATGCATAGAATTAATTTATTTTTTTTTTAATGCATGTATTACCAGTTTAAGGTTACTTGCCAAAACCTCCTAATGACTGCTGAAACTCTAACAAACAATTAGTGTGTAACCTGCTGAAACTCTACTAATTGTCAAAATTCCTAAATGTGAAACTCTGCCAAAACTCTAACAAACAATTAGTGTGTTACCTGCCGAAACTTTGCCAATTGATTTACAGAGGAGTTTTGGCAAGCAACCATACACCAGTTTGTGTAAAATTCACTGCCAAGGTAAGGAGAATTTTACAAAAAGTAGACATGGTTGTTTAACAATCAGAGAGCCAGCTTCGTTGACACAGGGTGAAATACAAAGATATGGGAGCAAAGGATTTAATTAATTATTCAGAATCTACAACTGTACTTCTTTCTAACTGGTAAAATTAATAACATCTTTCGCAAATTTTGTTACATTTTATTGTGTACATATTTGAATAATTGCCATATAAATATATTCTTCCTACTCATGCTCTGGCATGAAGACAGTAGTGACAATATCATTACTTATTTTTTTTCCTTCTATTAATTTTCTTCATTTTACCATGTCATCAATCATTGCTATAATTTTGATGTTTTTAAAAATCAAGCTATTTATAAAATTTAAGTGTTCACATAAATTGATGAAATTATCAGTTGAACTATGAAGGTTGTCAATTACAATTGGTAACTCAATTGAAAAAATTTGTATCATTTTTCGAAATGGTCCACTTCCTTGTTCCATAGCATGGATGTACATCTTCATGTCTAGTTATAAAAAATAATTAATGTGATATACAATATGCAATAAATATAATAACAATAATAGTTATCATAGAAATGAACTAAAATTATTTTTAAATCATCTAATAACTTAATTATTTGTTTGCTTTTATGAAACTTGTTTAGAAAAAAAAATATATGATTCAACATGTCATTTCCAAACTTTCCCAACTTAGTAAAATCTTCCCTATGTGATCTCAATTGTCTGGTGAAAATGGTCCATATGATATCTGCACAAATAAAAAATTGTAGTTGTGATCATAGAAATCATTTCTTATATAAGAGAACATATCCGGAAATTAATTGGGACCATTGGCTTCAGCATTTCTAAATTTAGTTGATTGAGATGACAAGCCATCCCACTACATTTTGACATTTGGGATGTCCACCAGCAAAAAGGGGGTCTGAGACTATTAAATTGTTCTGTGTTATTATCAAAACAAAATTGGTTACACGAATAGTTTTGATATGTAAAGTAAATATTTCAAATCTTGTATCTCATTATTGTACTAGGTAAACATGTTCTAAATTTTTCACCAACTATAATCCTTATGATATAGATATACATTATGCAAAAAACTCAATTTTGGCCAGGAGTTCTCAGACCCCCATATTGCTGGTGGACATCTCATTTGTATTAATAAAATTAAATTCAACAATACCATTCACCAAATTGTGTGAATAGGTTTCTCTTGTTTAATGATTGATCTTGATTTTTATATGATGATCTTCAAATTTTCTTTCTATAAAATAATCATAAATATAATTATATAACAATACAGTAAGCTTAACTACTGAATTCCCAAATCGATATCTGCTTAAAAAATTGTTTGTGTAAGGAAACCCTTTTTCCTTACGTCAAAATACTATATAATGGTTTTAATTATTAAAAAAAATACAAGTTATACAAGTTATTCTTTATTAATTACGGAAAGCTTATCTTTTTATACAAAAATGCATAATATAATATTACAATTAAATAAATAAAAATAATATCTTAGAACTTCCCGGAAAGCCGCAGCACTTAATTTGTAACTCATATACATAAGAAAATAATATAAATAATAATAATATAAGTAATATAAATAATACATAATATAAATAATAAGTAATATGACGATAATATATATAAATAAAGTTGTAACGTTTCGTTTTAATTTAACGCGTTACGCGAAATAAATTTTGTATTACTGTGCCACATTTCATATTCGCAATTAACGAAAAAGAACTGTTACACACACACTGTACGACCATGATTACGATAAGCCTAATTCGATAAATTACCTCATAATGCATTTATATTTATGAAAAATTGTCAGCTTAACTACATTAAATTTACCTTTAAAGTTAATTATTTCACGCCGTATCTGTTATGAGAATAAATCAAATAATTTATTTGGATATTCATTTGCAAAAAACAATCACGCAATCAATTACATAAAGATGTTAGATTAAGATAATCATATATTTTGATTAAGACGACGACTATATAATGTCCACTAAAATCATTTTCGTTCTTATAAATATTATTTTCTACTGCCAAATTTTACCCTGCATACGAAATATAATATTATGCCGAACAATACGAACAATCCTCGTGCAAACAATCCTCGTGCAAACAATCCTCCTCCAAACAATCAAAACAGACATGTGTATCCTCCTACGTTAACACCTAATCAAATAAAAGCAGTAGGACAAAAAAGAGATGAAAATGGTAAATTTTCAAATAAAAAAGGTGCCACTCCTATCAATCACTATACAAGACCCAGCCAATGGTAGGAGATAGTATTTACATATTTTATGAACCCAATAAACTGTAGAGTACTCATCCTTCTCCTTTTATTACATTATAGAATTATTTTTGAATTGCGAGACTTCTCGGTTATGTTATGTCTTTTCTTTTTCTTTTTACTTTTTATTGGTTATGTCAGTTCTATGTACGGTAATAGTATGCATGTATTAGTTTAGCATTCACTGAAAATAAAGTTTTCGTCTATATTTGTTTTTTAATTATGCACCTCTGTAAATGCAGTGTGAACTGCTTATCAAATAAATAAACCGTATTGTAGGCATATTGCACCATTCAAAAAAATTTTTTAGGCATTGCGAATAATAATATATTTCTTAAATAATTATTCTACTTTTCAATATACTATGGAGTATTATGTACTACGCAAATTAGATGAAACTATACTTTCAAAAAAACAGAATCAATTCGCACCTAGAAAATTATAGTTAACAATATATATCTTTGACCGGATAACTAAGTGTCTTCGATACTAGCTTCACTATATATCTTTTTCGAACCTATGAGTAATAATAAATTTTTCAGAAAAAAATATGCGCGATTTATGCTTGTTATATTCTATAGATAATGATTTGTGGAATAAATCATGCAAAACACCCTATATATGAACTTTTATAGGTCCCTCGCTTTGCAATGGCTCTTTGAGCCTAGATCGTAGTAATAACCTGCATCTCCATAATCATCACCTAGCTCTAGTAAAGTTTTTTTGTCGATCATATATACATTACACGAAAAAAAAATTTATGCATATATTGAATCGGCCACATAAATACATGATTTAGAATTATTTCAATATTATAATTGGCGCGAGTAAGTTTTATGCCTTCGATTCCAATTTCATTTGAAGAGAAAACTTGTATGAATTGATTATAAATTTTATTCCAGTCCTCCATAAGATCATTGAGCCATGCAGTGCTTAAACCACTCTTTAGTATTCCGCAACGTAATAACTCTTCACCAACCAGCCTATCACGATCTGTTAAAAATTCACGATATTTTCTAGGGTCTTCTTTTCTTTCTATTCCACCACAATAGAAACGTATATCTCTTTGCAAATCCCCACGAAAACACCCCATGGCCCACCTATGACCATGCAGAAATGAACTTTTAAGGAACCAGTTTTGGTAAAGTCACATAAATGCCCTGACAAACAAAATGAGAAAATCTGAGAGGGTAGTAACTTCCATTGTCCTTAAAAATGAATGATACTGAAAGGTGGAGAATAAATAAAAACCCATGATGTTTTTGCTGATTTTAACCTGTGATTTCTTTCCATGTAAGATAATGGCAGTGGAAAATGTTTAGTGGTGAAGTCTCCCCTTTTTGTGCACATGTGTTGTAGATGTTGTGTAAGTTGGTTCATCAGGTGTGACCTTTACTAGTGACCATTCACAAAAAATAAATCTGACTAATGTTATAATGGGTGCAGATTTAATAAAATTTCTCTATCAACAGTGTTGTGACCAGAAACTCTTTTGGCTTCCCGAAACGTTTCGGAAAATGAACTTACACTAAGCAGAAATCTAAAC